CAAAAAAACCTTCGACAAGTGTGACCATGGCGTAATAGCGCACAAAATGCGGTGCTAAAGGAATAAAGGAAAAGTCGGTCGATGGATCTTAATTTCTCACTAACAGAACACAGGGGGTAGTCGTCAACAGAGTAAAGTCGAGGCAGTACGGTGAAAAGCTCTGTTCCACAAGGACAGTACTCGCTCCCATCTTGTTCTCATCTTCATATCCGACATAGACAAGGATTTTCAGCCACAGCACGTGTCTTCCTTTGCAGATGACACCCGAATCTGCTGACAGTGTCTTCCATTGCAGACATGCAAGGCTCCAGGCGGACATCAACCAAATCTTTCAGTGGGCTGCAGAAAACAATATGGGAAATTCAACGATGAGAAATTTCAATTACTCAGATATGGTTAAAAAACGAGGAAATTAAATCTTCATCGAGTACAAAACAAATTCTGGCCCAAAATAGAGCGAAACACCAACGTCAAAGACCTGGGAGTGATCATGTCGGAGGATCTCACCTTCAAGGACCATAAAAATTGTATCAATCGCATTTTGCTAGAAAAATGACAGGATGGATAATGAGAACCCTTTAAAACTAGGGAGGCCAAGCCCATGATGACACTCTTCAGGTCACTTGTTTATCTAGGCTGGGAAAATTGCTGCACACTTTAAAAGCACCTTTCAAGGCAGGTGAATTGCTGACTAGAAAATGTACAGAGAACCTTTCACGGCGCGCATAACGGAGATAAAACACCTCAATTACTGGGAGCGCTTGAGGTTCCTAAACCTGTATTCCCTGGAAAGCAGGGGGGAGAGATACATGATTATATATACCTGGGGGAAATCCTAGAGGGGGAAATAGTACCGAACTTGCACACGAAAATCACTCACTACAAAAGCAAAAGACTTGGCAGACGAGCACCACCCCCCCAATAAAAAGCAGGGGTGTACTGGGCACGTTAAGAAAATCTAAAATAAGTGTCGGGGGTCGGGGGGATGTTAAAAAACTGCCTCCCAGCATACTTTAAGGGGGGGATTACCAACAGACCCCTGGCAGTCTTCAAGGGGAACGGGAAAAAGCACCTAAAGTCGGTTCCAAAAACAGCCGGGCTGTGGCTCGACTTTGGGTTTTTGCGTGCAGCCAGCAGCAACACCCTTGGTTGATCAGGCTCTGTTTCCCCCGGGGGGTTTGGTCCAGACCGGGCCGGGGGGGCTTTTGCCCCCCCGGGAATCTTTTCCGGGTTTAAAAATCCAGGACTCTGAAAACGAAACCCCCAAAGCCTGAAAAACATTATATTTTAAACAAAGGGAAAAAAAGGCAACAACAAATGTGATCTGCAACCCACTGTTAACAAATAAGTTTTTTAATTTTAAAAAAAATTATAGTTTAAAATTTTGAAAAAGGGCTTTTCTATAGGTAGGGACACATTCACAGATAATACTAAAAAATATAACCAAGCCTCGATGGGCAGTAGGCAGCGCGTTGGTCTCATAATTCAAGGTCGTGAGTTGGGTCCACTGGGGGCAGGTTATTTTTATAGAACTTTTATTTTTTTTTTTTTTTGTGGGGAAATAAAACCGAAAATTCTTTGCATTTTTTTCATACTGTAATGTTATAAAATAATATGGGAAATACATAATCAGTTCCGGGGCCGGGAGGGTTTGACTTGGTTTAGGCAAGTAAGTTTTTTTAGGTTTAAAGGGCACAGAAGTACAAAATTTTCATACGAAGTGTAAAATTTGCATAAAAATTTAAAAAAAGGAAAATTAAATTCCCCTGCGGGGGGCCAAACCCCCAGGCTTAAAGGAATTGCACCCCCCTAGGGAAAGGACTTATTAAGGGGGAAAAGGGAAATGTTGGGAAAACTAAAGGGTTTAATAAACCCCCCAAATCTTTGAAATCCCAATATTTTTAAAGTAAAATTTCCTCAAAGATTAAACCATTATAAAACTAAATTTAAAAAGGACCCCATAATTAATTTTTCCCAAATTTTTGGGGTCCCCTTTAGGTGTATTTTGCCCTTTTTAAAATTTTTTTAACCCCCCTTCAAATCGAAACCCTTTTTTTTTCGGGAGTTTTTCTTTTTTAACGCCCCCCTTTCCCCCAAAAAGGGTTAATAATCCAAAAAATAAATGCTTTTTTTGGGGTTTTCTTTCTTTTTTTTAAAAACCCAAAACCCAAAAAACCCGTTTTTTTGTTCCGGTTTTTGGCTTTTTGGGATAACCCGCCGGCCTTTTTTCAACCCCGGGGGGGGGAAGGGGCCCGGGTTCCCATTCCCGGCCCCCGGGGAAAAGGGTTTTATTTTGTAAACCCCTTCCGATTTTTTTCACTGAAACACTTAGCTAAAAAACCCTAGTTGACAGTTTTAAAAAAATTTCTTAGCCTCAGACAAAATGCTAGTGAAAGTGAATGATTTTGTTAAAAGAGTTCACTCAATGCTCAATTACTGTATCCTTCAGTAAACAACAAATATCTACGCAGAACATAAACCTCACTTTAACTGACAAGGAATCAAGCACGACCTGAGATATATAGTATGCTTCACTGACGTATCAGTGGATCCAAATAACAAGCGTTCAGAAGCCTTTGAGTCCTTCATGATAATCCCTGTGACAGATTCCTTGACCATTTCTTGAAAAGACGCCTGTCAGTAGACTCACCACATACGTGGAGCAAAGTAAATATTTAGTTGGCATGTACGATACATGCAACTGATTTTGACTGATGAATGTCACAAATGATAGGGCTCATAGGATAGTTGTTCTTGTGCATGTTTAGATCTCTAAATTTAAATTTAATCTAGAGTGCCGTCGGCTGAAGAAGACTTTTTTCTGAGTTAATAACTCAAGATAACCCAAGACAACCAAGCAAGTTTATTTCCAATGGGGTCCTTTTACCTAGGACGAGACCCACAAGAGCCGACTAACTACGCGGTATCTGTTTATTGCTAGGTGAACCAAGGCAGCAGGTTTATAAACGACTTAACACACGTTTCACCAAACTAGGAAAAGCCCACTATTAGTGTACTCACCGTGTAGTTTCATTTTCACTGTCGGCTATTCGACGGGGGTCTTAGGTAATATGCATAAACTTGTTTCATTTTGTATATTACCTGAGACTCCCGTCGAATCGCCGAAAGTGAAACTGAAGCTATGCATAAGCTTGTTTCGTTTTGTATTGAAGTTGGTAGAATTACCGACAATATGTTAGGTAAAAGGACACAAGTACAGCTAATGCGACTTCTTTTTGTGGCAATATTTCGCTCTCCAGCTTTATCAAATCGTTACAAACACTACATGGACACAGAGGGTATACATAGGCTTAGAGTGAGGCGTAATACTAGTGGCAGTAGTTACAGTGGTAGTAGTAGTAATACATGTGGTAGAACAATCAATTTGCACATGAGTAAAAGATTATAAAAGCTATTACTTGGGTAGCATAAAAATAGGTTAGACAAATATTTGTTAGTGGTTGGATCTGAGAAGGCTTGTACTAGCAACGGCGACTATGTGATGGTTTATTTTGAGGAGGAGTTCTGCTAATACTTCAGAGATGATGAAGCTGCCTTTATTTTGCTTGATTGTGTTAGAAACAGCGATTAATGATGATTTAAGGCATTAACGTCTGCGGAAATTAGGTTCTCTGATCTCACTCACTCCTATTCCAGTCAAGATACGACGACCAAAAGAGGCATCATCGGATTTTTCCTAAGAACATACCGAATTTGTAATCCTGAATTTCTTTACGAGGAATGTACTTACACCAAACCTTCACTGATCTTCATTTTCTTTTCTTTTTCATACAACACTGCTAGAGAAGAGCTGTTATATGTTATACGGTAGAAGAAAATGTTCATGTATCTGTTAAACAAAACAAAAAGTTCTCCTTCGAACCGGATTCGAACCAGTGACCTATGGATGTCTGTTTTTGAGTACCAACTACAGTCCACCGCTCTACCAACTGAGCTATCGAAGGAACTGAGCGCATTATCTATGCTACAGTCTTTGTAGGCTAACAGAAATTTAGCACACTTGTTAATACTTGATATAACACAGTCTTTTGCTTCTGTGATTATGGAGGAACTGTCTATGTGTGTATGGGAGGGGAAGCTTAGAAATCTTTGCTTGTAAGGTAAATTCATGTTCCTTCCACTCCTATATAAGCCTTGTGATACTGGCATTACTATTATCATGCAAAGTATAGCGCTAGGAGACTTGACTTGATTAAGCCCAAAAGCAAAGCGGTTTACTTTTGCACGATCATTTTTCGTCAAAAAACTCCCAGGTATTTATTTTCTGCTACGTGACAAGAAGTAGCATGAGTTAGAAAAAGTGTCCATATCTCCCGCCTCGCAGCGGGTTCGACCCAACGTCCTCTAATGCACTATAAAATAGCATTACACAAAAGGGCTGACCATGTACTGAAATAATGCTCCATTATATATAGGAAAAGCGCTAAACCTGTGAGGGGTCATACAAACCTTGGGAAATGAAAGGCAATCAGGTTCGATCCAAAATAATGTAGTTTACATGCAATATAACATTGGTAAGCACAAAGAAAGCCACTAGTATGCAATGCATTTCGGGCCAATCCAAATGTTATATCTTTATTTTGCACCCCATACCCATCCTGATCCAAGGAAGGTGAGGTCAAGCTCTTTGACTTCTTTTCAAGTAACTGTAGAGGGAGGGTTGAGGCAGTTTAGCAGTTTTGGGCCCCTAACACTTACTGTGTTCTCTCTCTTAGCATACTCGTGGCGCCCCTGCTCTTCATTGGGAGGGACGGGGATGCTGCATCTGCCAAATCTTACTGCTGATAAACCTTACCTAACCTCGAAATCGTTGTAGTTTATTGCAATGTGCTCATTAAGTTCATGAGACTGGACGTTCAATATAGCTGTGTTAAGCAGTTCACTTCAGTCATGTGATTCCAAAATCACAATATGGAGTTTGTTATACGGTACTGCACGATAAACAATTCGAGTGACTACTATGGTGACTTGATACTGACCTTGTAGCTTGTCTTCAAGTTGGGCTTGCTGGAGGTTTTGTGGGATTTTGTAGTGGCGTGGGTTGTGTTGGACTCTCACATACAGGAAGGTTGAGCGGAGCCATTCCACAGCCACACCTAGGTCCGTCACTGTACCAAGCACGATCTGCACCACAATCAGGTACAACAAAAAGAATAAGTCTAGATCAGACTATTATGTAACACAAGTTATACAGTGGTAGATAGTAGCTATTACAAAAAAGTGCATCCCCTACAGTCTTGAACATTAATAATTAAATACTGGTACAATATCATAAATTTTAAATGCGTCTGGTGTACGATTCCAATCGTTCATTGCTTATCTTTATACAAAGTTTTTTATTGGTTACTGGGAAAAGTTAATCTGAGGGTTTATACAACACCGAAAAATAAAGGGTTAATTTTGGTTTGATCCAAAAAAGAGGCAGCTCCTTTTCCCGATCAAGGGCCCTTCCCCATCAAGGGACCTTCATTGGAAGGGTTTTTTACCGGAACTCAAGTTAGGTGTGGAATTGTTTTTTTCCGGGGTTTGTTTATCCCTTTTCCCCAAGGGGGAAGGGTAAGGGTCAACCACGTATACAGTCCCTCTGTCAATAGTAAATTTATCTTTTTGTATATTATATGTTGTGCGCGGGAATGTTAATAATGTATACTTTCTTTCTTTCAAGTACATTCACACTAGTATCAAAATAGGATTACTGTCCATTGTTTTCCTCTCCCCCCTTTTCGAATACTTTTTTTTTTATTTCTGTCCCTCCTTAACTCCCTTTCCCTTTCCCCCTTGGGTTTGGATTTTGGCACCGGGGACCGCTGGGCACACTGGTTTGCCAGGTAGTGAGAGATGGGAACAGAATCAAAAGGGAAACGTTTACTCGTAACGTTTATTAGGTCCATTTTTAAAAATGATAATCGGTCAGAATATCTTTGGATAAAGGGGAAAAAAAAAAAGGGATCTTTAGTTATATTTAAAAAAGTTTACGTATGTACCTAATTCCAGTACTTTGGCTACTTTTAGTTCATTATCCTTGCCGTTTTTCATTGTTTTACATAAATCATAAAATCAAAATATCAGTAGAATCTGAGCTGAGAACAAATGAATCCTATCAACAGACAACCTGTAACGAATTGTAGCGCGGTTCGATCCCCGGTAGGCATGCTTCCTTAAATTTGCTGCTCCAGTTCACCCAGCAGTAAGTAGGTACCTGGGTGTTAATCGACTATTGTGTGTTCCCCTTCCGGAAGACAAGATTGAAGGACTAAGTAAGTCTATTCAGGTACAGGTACACATAAATACAGTTACATAAATTATCATACAAAGTAGCATATGTCTAGATTACCCCGGATAACCCAACAAAGTCAGAGTGACTTATTTCCATTGGGAAAAAACAGTCCTCGATGACGTACTGACTTTATTAGAATATCCTGAGTGGTTAACCCTACGGATTAGAAATCCGAAAATATCTTATTAAGCTTAAAGTATTGGCTATTTTCTGTGAACTATGTAATCCACTTAAAGAAAACGGCACACCTATGCTAGAGACCAAGGTAACTAAACTGTCTGGATAACATGTGAGTGATGGGGCACTGAATGCATTCTTTGTTATTCACCGAGAAGCTATCAATAAGTTGTATATAATATTAGGGATAATGTAATTACCCAAACAGTACATTTCCATCCGTCGTGGTTTACTTGCATATTCTGTGTATGTATGTAATGTGTCATAGCCTGTCATAGCATGAACCAGTTCAAGAAGAGAGCCAAAAGGTACCTAATGGATGTAGCGACAGAAAGGGAGGAGAGTGATTTCTGGTATAACTAACATACATGTACCTAGTACTGTGATCTATCCTTTCTTTGATGTAAATGTAAATAACTCAGTTTACCGTATTCCTAATATATCTCCTTTTAATGTAATAATATCTTTATTACAAGTACATGTACATGGTATACAGGCCTAACTGACATCAATGACATACTACTATATAGAAAGCCGCTTGTTATGCCGAGCATTTCGGGCAAATTAGGTCAGTTTTGCGACCCACACCAGTCCACTAACACCCAGGTACCCATTTTAAGCTGATGGGTGAACAGGGACAGGGACAGCAGGTGTCTTATGGAAACGCGTCCCTAATGTTTTCCAGCCGTACCGGAGAAGATTCGAACCCCACACCTCAGTGTGTGAGGTGAGTGCGCTAGCGATCGATTCACTTTGTCTGACTTTCTTGGGTTATCCTGGGTAATTACTTATATGCTGTTATGTATGATAATTTATGTAACTATATATATTTATGTCATGTACCTGAATAAACTTACTTATATATGTACAACAGTTCGTTTAGTTCAATGTCTTATTTACGTAACCTGTTTCTTGTGCGAGATTATGCTCTGTATGGTGACTGCTTTCTTTTTTCTGCTAAAAAACTCACTCTTTTGTAAGGAGACTACTGTATATGTGAGATAGCCGATACTTGCGTGAGACAACTGCTACACGTGACTTGTCAATGGTCCAACCGAAACGTCGTCATAAGATCCTCCTATGTGCTGGTTATTTGTGTATTGTTCCAGTCACGGTATTACGCCTTCTGTTCTTTAATATGATAACTAGCATGCGTTAATTAATCGTCCTATCATGCACCCCATACCCATCCTGTGGGCAGTGGTCAAAGATTACGTATGTGTATATATGTGCTCCCCTACATGTGGTTGTAGGGGTCGATTCTCAGGTCCTGTTCTTGCCTCTTCGCTGGTCGCTATTAGGTTCACTCCTGGCTTCGAGGGCCTTAGCGTATCTCTTCTTAAAGCTACGTATGAATCCTATCTTTACCACATCATTCTCCGGGTCGTTCCACTTCCTGATTACTTAAAGGTCGAAGAAATACTTTCTATCGTCCCTGTAAATCATCTACGTTTTCAGCTTAAAGCTGTGCTCTCCTGTTCACATTTAACATCTCTCAAACAGTATGTCCCTGCCCACACTATCAATTCCTCTAATTATTTAGAATATTATTATATCACCCAAGTCCTTCTGTCCTCTAGTGTCGTCAGGCTGAGTTCCCTTAACTTCTCATAGGACATACCCCTTAATTCCGGGACTAACCTTGTTGCAAACCTTTGCATCTTTTCCAGTTTCTTGACGTGCTCGACCAAGGGTAGGAGAGTTTCAGTGGGGAGAAATAAATGGGATTAGATGAGGGGTTTCAAATAGCGTTAGAGCTAAAGGAGTAGCAATGATGTTGAAGTATAAGTTATGGCAGGAAGATGAGGGAATATAAATGTATAAATTCAAGGATTATGTGGAGTGAAATAAGGGTTGAATGTGAAAAGTGGGCTATAGTAAGCATTTATGCACCTGGAGAAAAGAGAAGTGTAGAGGAAAGAGAGAGATTTTGGGAAATGTTGAGTGAGTGCGTGGGGGGGGGGGGGGTTCTGAACCAAGTGTGAGAGTACTTGTGGTTGGGGATCTCAATGCTAAAGTGGGTAAAAATGTTGTGGAGGGAGTAGTAGGTAACTATGGGGTGCCAGGGGTAAATGAAAATGGGGAGCCTTTAGTTGAGCAATGTGTAGAAAGAGGTTTGGTAATAAGTAATACATATTTTATGAAAAGGAGAATAAATAAGTATACAAGGTATGATGTAGCACGTAATGAAAGTAGTTTGTTAGATTATGTATTTGTGGATAAAAGGTTGATGGGTAGGCTTCAGGATGTACATGTTTATAGAGGGGCATTAGATATATCGGATCATTATTTAGTTGCAGCTACAATTTGAGTAAGAGGTAGATGGGACAAAAGGAAAATGGCAACAGCAAGTAAGAGAGAGGTGAAAGTTTATAAACAAAGGGAGGAGGAAGTTAGGGTGAGATATAAGCAATTATTGGCAGGAAGGTGGACTAGTGGGGGAATTGAAGAGGGTTGGGATAGTTTTAAAAATGCAGTATTAGAATGTGGGCAGAAGTTTGTGGCTATAGGAGGGTGGGTGCAGGAGGAAAGAAGAGTGATTCGTGGAACGAAGTAAAGGGTGTGATAAAAGAGAAAAGGGTAGCTTATGAGAGGTTTTTACAAAGCAGAAGTGTTATAAGAAGAGCAGTGTATATGGAGAGTAAAAGAAAGATAAAGAGTGGTGAGAGAGTGCAAAAGGAGAGCAGATGATAGAGTGGGAGAGGCACTGTCAAGAAATTCTGCTGGAAATAAGGAAAAAAAATTGGAGTGAGATAAACAACAAGTTAAGAAAGCCTAGGGAGCGAATGGATTTGTCAGTTAAAAACAGAGTAGGGGAGTTAGTAAATGAGGAAATGGGACATAGATAACATCTCAGAGCCTACATCTCGAATATTTCGTCCAGCTCTCCGGCAGTGGGCTGTGTGCCTAGAATGCTGCAGGCATTTTCCCTCTGGATCGCAACACTGAGTCTCTGAAAGAGGAAGCTGGCCGCTCTGTGATCCTTGGTTTCTGCGATGAATTTTTCACCCAGCTCTTTGAGGAACTTTAGAGTGCACTTGCCCCATGCTCCAAGGGTCTCCGACCCCACTGGGATGAAGTTATAGTAAGGGGGCAGGCCTTCATATCTGCGGGTCTTCTGAGTCTCCCTGTAGCTGGTGGCTCCACCCCCTTCAGCTTCAGCGTATGGCAAGTAGGTGTCCACCAATGTGGCGGCACAGGTGTAGTCCCAAGCAATCTGCTTACCATCCTTCCAGGTTAGCACGGTGGCTCCATCAGGATGCTTTTGACTTCCGTCAGACCTCTGTACTTGGGGTTCCCATTGAGCTGCCAACGGGCTGTGGCGAGGCTTCTCTTTATGATGTCGTTGACCTGCTCATGTCTAACATACTTTCTTTCTGATGTGTGACACACGAGACCATGAATTCCGAACTGATCCTCCGTCGCCCTGCCCCAAATACACTTATGTTCGGTGAGTATGGGGCGGCTAGGCAAAGAGCAACACCAATCCGAATGGCTTGTGGGTCGAGTCGAATGCCCAGAGAGGAATTGAGAACAGCTAAAAAGAAATCTCCTGAATATGGTGCATTCACAGCTAGGAGACGAGCTTTGTCCTTTCCTGAAGCGTTGGTGAGCATTGTGTTGGCGATTTCTTCCATGATCGGTTTGTTCCAGTGGGACTGTTTGTGCT